ACTTTTAGTATCACTTCTCACAGCAGCCCCGAGACATCCTATCAGAAGACATTAACACAGGAGGTCTTGCTGAAGTTCCCTGGCAAGACCTGTGGGGCAAAGGGGGCAACTAGAGAAAGCGGTGTATAGAGGAGATCAGATACCCTTTTGTTTGTGTAAGAGAAAACTTTGAACTCTGATATCAGGTCACACTTGATTTGTGATTTGATCAGTTGTACTTCGTAAGGCGGCAACAGGTTGGCATCATGCAAAAACATTTAATAAAAATCTATTTGATTTGAACGCGCTGAGACTAAGTAAGTGATTGTTTCATTGATTTGTTATTTTTAAAACCGAATTATACACTCGCCAGCCACTTTATTAGGTACACCTTACTAGTATCGTGTTGGATCCTCGTTTGTCTTCAGAACTGCCTTAAAATTTTTCGGCATATGTTTAACAAGGTACTGGAAGTATTCCTCAGAGATTTTGGTCCATATTGACATGATAGCATCACGCAGTTGCTGCAGATTTGATGTGATCCATGATGCGAATCTCCTCTTCCACCACATCCCAAACGTGCTCTATGGGACTGAGTTCAGGTGACTGTGGAGGCCATGTGAGTACAGTGAATTCATTATCATCCTCAAGAAACCAGTTAGAGATGATTCGTGCTTTATGATGATGATGATTTGCGTGGTATCGTGCTGGAAGCAGCCATCAGAACATAGGTACACTGTGGTCATAAGAGGATTGACATGGTCAGCATCATTACTCAGGTAGGCCGTGGCATTGACATGATGCTCAGTTGGTACTAATGGGCTCAAAATAAGCCAAGAAAATATCCCCCACACCATTACACCACCACCACCAGCCTGAACCATTGATGGAAGGCAGGATTGATTCTTGAATGGAAGGCCAAATTCTGACTACCATCCAAATGTCGCAGCAGAAATCAAAACTCAGAGCAGGCAATGTTTTTCCAATCTTCTATTGTCCAATTTTAGAGAGCCGGTGCGAATTATAGCCTCAGTTTCCTGTTCTTAGCTTACAGGAGTTGTGGCTGGTGTGGTCTTCTGCTGCTGTATCTCATCTGCCTCAAGGTTCAGCGTGTTTTGCGTTTAGAGAGGCTCTTCTGCATACCTCTGTTGTAACGAGTGGTTAAAGTTGCTGTTGTCTGGCCATCCACCTCTAACCTATGGCATCAACAAGGCATTTGTGCCCACAGAACTGCCGCTCACTGGATATTTTCTCTTTTTGGACCATCCTCTGTAAATCCCAGTAGATTAGCAGTTTCTGAAATACTCAGACCAGCCCGTCTGGCGCCACAATCCACACCACATTCAAAGTCACTTTTTTTTCCCCCCAATTCTGAGGCTCGGTTTGAACTGCAGCAGATCGTCTTGACCATGCCTACATGTCTAAATGCATTGAGTTGCTGACATGTGATTGGCTGATTAGAAATTTGCGTTGAACAAGCAGTTGGACAGGTGTACCTAATAAAGTGTACACACACGAATACATTCATATAGCCATATTTTATTAATGTGCTGTTTTAGTTAAACTATGGCCACATTCCATTCTATTAAGATGTTAGGTACAAAAGGACCAAAGTGAAACCGGACAAAGGACTAATTCTAATCTTGACGGAGAATGCTTATAATGCTCTGGAAAATATTCAGATCACTTCCAATCAGTGTGCTCATTTTTAAAATTTTTTGCCAAACCAGACTGAAAAAAGTATACCCATAGATTTAAAGCTCATGATCCAAGGAAGGAAGGCCATGGACTGAATTTAGTGTAGTAGGTGCCATTGTTCTAATACTGCACAGAAAATGTCAGTGCTTGGCCAGAATCACAATTTTCCATTGTTGCCATAAATGTTAATTTGGCTAAAAGTGATGCCACCTGGGATATTTTTTTTTCAGATGAACCCTTTCAACACTGTGCTCATAAGCATGCTGTGCTATAAAACATTATATACTGGCATATGATCTTAAAATTTGCAAGTTAATCTCTCCTCAGTGTGTTTCACAGAACAGAGTTCTAGCAGCTGAAATAGACTTCCGTAGTGACTCCTACAAACATAAAAGCAGACTTTGCACCTTCTATATATGGTCTCTAATCTCCAATGATTCAGGAAGACATTTTCATGTCTTTAACTACCCCCCACCCAAACCTCTGGTACCCTCAAGCCAAATCCATAACCCCTTAAATGAGAGTCTCTACACACACATGGTGCACGAGGCCCACATATCCCTCTCAGGAGTGCGTTTCGTGCAGCTGGGACAGGGTTCCGTGCAGCAGAGTCTATTTCTGGAGAATTCTGTCATCCGTGTCAGTATTAAGGTGCCATCACAGTGCCTGGGGTCACACACATATACTTTAGCACCTTTTAAATCAGACGCCTTCTGTGATTGATGAAGTGAACAAGGAGCGTCTCAAAGACTCTGCAAACAGACCCACACCTGCGATCCTTCTGTCTTATAGCAGGACCTTTCTTATGCATAGGCAAGAGGGTCGTACAAAGGCAGCAGTCAAGATAAAAGACGCTGCTTTCCATATATTGCGTAGTTCAATCTCTAAGTAAGAGTGACAGGCCTTTGATGTCAGTGTTTAGCTCAGAATACCTCAATCTAGAGTAATATGCATAGCCGCATCTGTAAAACGCTTCTGCCTCTGAGACATATTAGTTCGCAGACTCACAAATGTTTTTGACAATAACATTGCCTCAAGTGGAGAATTTCCACCTTCATTTGCTTCCCGCCGTTCTAAAGTAAAGCTATTAATTGTGTGTGTGGATGGCGTTACCAACGCACAACTTTTTTTTTTTCCCTCTTCCTGTTTTGCTTAAGTCATGTAATTGCAGTAGACAATCAGATGCCTGCTTTATGGGCGCATGGTAGAACTGTCACTTCCTGTTGGGTGCAGATAACACGGGAGCTGTCACAACCACTTACCCTGCGCTAATGCGCCCCACGCAGCGCTGATAGTTTCATTGAATCAATCAGGCTCTTCTGTTTTCCCAGCTTCACATCTCGCTTGGCATGCGGCTCTTTATCTTGTTAACGAGACATAATGAACAGTTGGTGAAAACTTCAGGCACTTCAGGGGACGTGATGCAAACAAAATGCGAGCGTGGCAAAGTCAATGTGTATCCATCTATCTATTGTGGTCTGTGTCAATGATGTTTCCTCCTCTACTATTAGAATGCTTTAGTTGCAGAAGTGCTTCAGTAAGATTCTTGACTTGAATTATTGAATTCTGACCCTACCATCTGAATGTCACAGCAGAAATCAACCCTCATCATGTTTTTCCAATCTTCTATTGTCCAGTTTTGGTGAGCCTGTGCGAATTGTAGCCTCTGTTTCTTGTTCTTAGCTGACAGGAGTGGATGCTGGTGTTGTCTTCTGCTGGTGTGGTCTTCTACTGCTGTAACCCATCTGCCTCAAGGTTCAACGTGTTGTGCATTCAGAGAAGTTCTTCTGCATACCTTGGTTGTAACGAGTGCATACCTGCCAACACTCCCGTTTTTCCCGGGAGTCTCCCTTATTTCAGACCCATCTCCCGTTTCCGTTTTGTTCTGTCTCCCAGAAAACTCCCAGAATTCTTCTCCCCCCAACCCTCCGGTCCTCAGCTTTTTGGTACAGTCCCGGGATTGCCGACCTTGGTAGTAATGACTAGGGACCGCAGTCTTCAGTTCGCTAACCACCCCCCAACCTTCAGTTTGCAAACTGCCCTCCCCCCATCCCCCAAGTCTACCCCCGACTGTCTCCCGGATTTTCAGAGATAAATGTTGGCAGGTATGAAAGAGTGGTGATTTGAGTTACTGTTGTCTGGCCATTTTCCTCTGACCTCTGGCATCAACAAGAAATATCTCCCACAGAACTGCCACTCACTTATGATATTTTTGCGTTTTGGACCATACTCTGTAAACCCTAGATATAGTTGTGCGTTAAAATCCATGTAGATCAGCAGTTTCTGAAATACTCAGACAAGCCCATCTGGTACCACCATCCACGCCACGTTCAAAGTCACTTTCTTCACCATTCTGATGCTCAGTTTGAACTGCAGCAGATCGTCTTGACCATGTCTACATGCCTAAATGCATTGAGTTCCTGCATTGTGATTGGCTGATTAGAAATTTGCGTTGGACGAGCAGTTTGACAGTCAATGATGTTTTCTCTTCTATGAGAATTCTTAAGTTGCAGAAGTGCTGCAGTAAGTTTCTTGACTGAGTAGAAAAGGTACAAACGAAGTGCCACCTAGGGTTGATAGTCTCTGCTCTGAAGCTCCTAAAGTCCTCGGAGCCTTTTGCGAAAGCAATAGGTGGTGTTGACCTTGTGAAATCCTGCGAAATGAACCACATGTGAGAGCTAATGCCTCAAACTTATAAACTTTGACTTGTTGAGAAACTCCAAGGCAAATTAAGCCGAATTAACCGAGTGCGAAGAGTCCACCCACGAAGAGGAGATCGCCCAAAACTTTGCATAGACTCCAACTAATTGGAGTGTCCTACACCTCCTGCTGTGGATCTTTCCGTGACTTGAAACATCTTTCATCTTCCTCGACTCGGAACCACAGCTGTAACGACCCCATGACACCTGAAACGATGTTTGAAAAATGTGGTCTGAAATCTCATTAAAGACCTCCATTCAGGAACATCTGCTACATGTGGTTTGGTCATCGTTCGTAGACGTGAAAGAGGCGATAAATTTCATCTTGATGAGGGAACCCTCTTTTAGATTAGCCAGCCAATTAAATCTGGAGACAGAAATAAACAGGCAGACAGAGACTCCACTGTGGATATCTCCATTATCTGGTCACAAGGCCTGTTCCGATGACTGCAAGATTTCTGTCGCTTCTTCGGTTTGCACTTCCACAAACACACATCGCTTTGTTCCGCTGCGGTTCCTCTATGGACACAGTGAATGTCAGATGGAAATTCTTTGAATTCTGCAAAAAAATGTTATGTGTCATATATCCAGAAGGAGCACTCATAAAAGAAAAGACACTGATCGTTCTGTTTTCCCTTCGTTTTTTCATTTATTGGCACAGGACAACATTCTGTTGACATTAAAGAACACAAACTTGAGCTTGAGAACGGCAGACGTTTCATAAAGAAGGCTTACAGGAAAGGAAGTATAATAAAAAGAACAGAGGGATCTTTTTGTCAGCATATGCACAGCAGATAAGCAAACGTGCAAAAACACATCTCCCTTTCATAAGAGGAGGATTTTCCACCATAAAGGCTGCGGACAAACCAGACTGGCCACATGTTGTAGCGTAGAATAAAAGAACTTGCTTTCCTGAAAGATGTTTCGAGTCATCAGTGTATTACCAAGCTGTTATGTTCACAATTCTCCTGCTGCAGAAGCATGTTTGTCATAACCCTTTATTAAAATCCTTTCATTTTGTGCTGTGAAATCACAAGCGCAGGTCTTTTTTTCTGACATTTAAACACATTAAATCTGTAATTTATATAGCTTCAAGTGACTAAAGAAATTTAGAGCTACAAACAACAGAAGGGGATTTGAGGGGGAAATGACAGACTGCTTATGGATGGAGTGAAAAGCACATGAAAACCAGAACGCACCAGTGCTGTCTGAGCAGCTACAGCTGGTACTCTGCCCGCTGCCCCAGAGCGAAAACATGACATCCTGTCAAAACCCCAGACTACTGCCCACACCAGCGCTAAGGCTAGGAGAAAGGGAGAAACTGCAGAAGAAAAATTTGGTAACACTTCACAATTTGGGACACATACTTTATGTATTTGTGTTTACTACCATGAACAAACAATAAACAATCCATTAATTACAGTAGTAATTCATCTTTGCTAATGTTAGTTGATGAAAATACCGCTGTTCATTGTCAACGCATAAGCAAATGATGAGCTATAATTAATAAATGCAGTGCAAACATCGCCCATTGTTTGTTCATGCTAGTAAATACATACATGTCCCATACTAAGGGTCACCAAAATCTGTCCTGGAGGGCCGGTGTCCTGCAGATTCTCGCTCCAACCCTAATCAAACACACCACAACAAGCTAATCAAGGTCTTACTAGGAGGGATAAGGCAAGTTGGAGCTAAACCCTGCAGGGACACCGGCCCCCCAGGACCGAGATTGGTGACCTCTGTCCCAAAACTGCCAATGATGTCAAATTTCCAAGGGTTCAAAAGCATAAGGGACAATTTTGTGAATTTCTTTTTATTATTTTAAGCATTGACTACCTTATCCAAAAAACTATTAATAAGTTAACATTAGAATGAGCTGCTTTTCCATTAACAAAAGGCAGTTTCATGTTGATCATTGATCAAGATACTCCAATCCTTAAACATGCTAAGCTAACATATAAAATAACACTATTAGCAGCCATTATTCAGCTCACGAAAACAAACAACCTGCTTTAATTATACTGAAGTTTTGGGTTAACATCATGTCAGCTTGTTACCTTAGAAGATCTTAAGGTCTGGCTTATTGGACGTGTAAGTAACCAAAACCTTCAGTGGTGACCACTTGGGTAAACTCTGTTCCTCAGAACCACCACAGGAGGCAAATGATGCCGTATGCCTGGATAGTGTTGAATATGATCAAACCATCTGCTGACATTCAGATAGCACTCTTTCTCTTGTATAGCCAATTCCACCTAAGAAAAACAGAGCGCAAACATGAGTGGAGTTAAACATGATGTACACCACCTGACTAAAGTCTTGTCCTCGATTCCAGTTGTAAGAGCAACAAATAATGATAGCTTGACTTCTAGTTGATTTGGAAAAGTGGCAGAAGGTAAATTTTTCCGATGAATCATCTGTTCAACTGCATCACAATCATCACAAATACTGCAGAAGTTCTATTGGAACCCGCACACAAGATTCTCACAGAAATCAGTCAAGTTTGGTAAAGAAAAATTCATGGTTTGGGGTTACATTCAGTGTGGAGGCTCCTTTCCACTGCACACAAGCGACAGACCGGATGTCATTCATTTAAAATGGAGAGTAGTCCGGGAGCTGCGTGGCGTTCTGATTATCTCCATATGTGATGTAGTTCAATGTTGTCCAAACAGGTACGTGCGCGCGAGATGAGAAATAGTTTTTTTTCGCTATTTTTTTTTTTTTTAAGTTTCTATTAAAAAAAAAATTGCTATTCAAAAATGAATAATAAAAATATAATTTTTGGTCCCACTTTATATTAGGTGGCCTTACCTAGTATGTACTTACACAGGAATTAATAGTTTGTTACAATGTACTTATTGTGTAAATAGATGTGTTTATTGTGTGCTTGATTAAATACCTGTAATTACATCTGTAATTAACTTCTGTAATACATTTGTAAATACACTGCTGACCATTCCCTACACCTTAACCCACCCTTTAACCTATCCATACCACCAAATGTGTCCATAAACCAACCTCTATCCCAACTCAAGAGCACCACAAGTGTTCTCAAATACATTATGAACACAGTAAGTACATTGTATTTATTTCTTGATGCAACTACATAGTAGTTAAGGACACTTGATATAAAGTGGGATCTAATTTTTTATGTTGTCTCTACATTCCCTCAAATATTTTTTAGCGGTCTATTAGTTTCTAGTATTTAGTCATTCAATCATGGTAAATGCAAGGCGAATAATGGCTCTTGCTTTTGCTCTCCTTTATTTTGGACACTGCGAGAACAGCTTCTCTCCCATGGTGCATGACAGTACTAAAAACTTTGTGGTCTACCACAAGAGGTTGTATTCCGACAGTCGTGTCCAAATGTCATGTGCAGTGGAAAGGCGGCTTGAGAAATCTGCAGAGTGGATGGCAACATCAATAACTTGAGGTATTAAGACATTTGTTCTGCCCATTACACTACAAACCACACGAGAGGACAAATTCTTCACCAGAGTAGCGCTCCTCCTCATACTTCAGCCTCCATGTCAAAGGTCCTTAAAGCAAAGAAGGTCCAGAATTGGCATGCCCGATCACCAGACATGAGCCTTATTGAGCATGTCTGGGGTAAGATGAAGGAGGAGGCAATGAAGATGAATCCATAGAATCTTAATAAACTCTGGAAGTCCAGCAAGAACGCTTTCTTTGCCATTCCAGATGATTTGAGTGATTTGAGTCATTGCAGAGATGTATGGATGCAGTCCTCCAAGCTCATGGGAGTCATACTGTACACAATATTAATTCTTTTTCCCCTGGACCATGACTTTACAATCTATACTATATATTAATGACAGGACATTTGTCTAAGCAAAGTCAGACATTACTGTCCTAAATAAATCATTAAAAATCAAGGCATAAACATATTTTATTTTTGGTAAAAAGGCCTTTTCCTTTCATAAAAGCCACTCCTGATACCAAATGATCAACTAGAAGTCAACGTATTAATCGTTGTTCCTAAAACTTAACTAGGCGACAAGACTTTTGTAAGGTAGTGCATATAGCAAAACAGAGACATCCAGTACAGTGTCTAAAAAAGTATTAAAGGTCAAAAAGTGTCTGAGTTTTAATATGAGACATGTTATGATGATTGGACTGGCAAATAGGTTCACAAACTAATACTCACTTAACCAACATACCTATAAAAAAAAACAATCAGTTGTAAATATTAAAGGGGTTTCAACGAACTGTGGACCAAATAGATGCCAAGTTTCTCATAAGTCAAACATTGTTCAATATACAGAAAGAAATGGGGAAATTCCTATAAATACTAGAAGAATGGTTAAAACAAAAATTAATGTGTGTCCAATAACTGTATAACATTTTAGGCAGTGACATGAAAAAGTCCAAACAAGTTCCTTTGTGGTTCAATGCTGTACAACATTAAAGCATGAAATTTACCATGGGGGTGAATACCATTTTAGATGCTTTACAGCTGTGTAAAAATAAAAAAAAACTCTGAAACCACTGTTAAAAGCAATAGAGATATTTGTGGATTGCAAATGATTTACTTGTGTATGTAGTAGTGCAACTGAAACAACAGACAACTGTTCTGAGTAAATGGCTAACGAATTTAAAGATCTGGGGTCCGTTCTTCGTACGTGGATTACTCAGTTAGATGGATTTGGATATTGACGATTTGACACGATCCAGGATCGTTTCGTTCTTCAAAGCTGATCCGAGAGTTGTTGTCATAGCAACAGCTAAGGTGCTAAGAGAAAACTTATTGATATGAACTTTTTAGATCGCTTTAGTACAAATTGTGTATAATAGAAATGCACAATATGTGACTTTTTTTTAAAGCAATAATACATTTATGCAGTCATAGACATGTTTTGACAGTTAATATGCCAGTGATTTGATGCTTCACAAATGTTGCTGACGCCTTCCAATACCAATATCAAAATGCTTTTGTAAACAACCAGTTATTCTTTACACCGATTAAAAAAACGGCTACTATAATAAAGAAAATCTTTTCCAAATGTAGAACTAAATACATTGATTTGCATTGCAATACATGAATACTCTTGACACATGAAAGTGTAAAGCCTGCAGCTCACAACAAATGTGGAAGGTTATTGCGTGTCATATTTAACAAGCCGTTTACTGCTAATTTGATGTAATTTTGCTCACATGGATAATTGAATATTAATCAGATGATGTCATTACGCTGCTGTGCCGTCAGCCAATCGTTGCATTGCTGATCATGATTTCGAGGATCCATAGATCTGTCCTTTACAACACACGCAGTGATCTCAGATCAGTTTATCCAGACATTCTAATCTGATTCGCGAACTTGTTTGAAGAACCAAATTAGCGAGAGATCAGTTATCATGATTAAAAGATCCAGGATCTGCCAAATCATCTTAGATCATTTAAGCGAGGTACGAAGAACGGACCCCAGGGAAAGGGTGTTCAAAATAATAGCAGTGTGTCGTTTGAGAGAGTTCCATCATCATGTGAAGAAAAAACTTCAATAATTGTTCTTCATTAAGGGGATATTCAGCCAAAACTTAATACATATTTAAAAGGATTCAAAAAAATCTTTACAAGCTTTAATTAAAAATTAAATGTTTAATACTTAAACTATAGTTGAAATAAAAAGCTATTTACAAAAAAAAAAAGATCTGCGCTTTATTCCCTTTTTAAGATACTGCTATTTTTTCTGAGCTCAACTGTATGTCTAACTGACCTTATCTTCAGGCTTTTTAAACTGAGTGACACACCAATGCTTTCTGGGTAATGGCAACTCTCTGTCAGTCATGTAGTCAGTCAATTACAAACACTGACATGCAGAGATGTGATCTTCTATTTCCTTTCTCTCTAATTCTCATTTCATCCCTCTCCTCCTGTCTCAATGGGCTCCTTCAGGCTCCTTAAACTTCCTTGGCTGCTGTCCTGGGAACTGACATCACTACGTGTCTCATCTTTTCTGCTGTGTCAGGTTTCTCCTGTGCTTCAAGCGTCTTGCTGCTTTAATTGGGAGCTCTGCATCACCTCTCTCAAACGATTGAAGTTCACCGCTGAGGGACTTACAATAATGTGGTGGATTCCGTAATACATGAGTATGTCTGCCAGGGTGAAGACGTTCCCAGCCAGGTAAACTTTGTCCTCCAGGTATCGGTTAAGATCCTGCAAGCCAAGCATAAAAGGAGGTCACTCTGGGCCTGCTCTCCTGTCAAAAATGGTAACTCTGACAATCAGAAGAAAAAATAGACAAGTGCCAGAAGGGATAAAGTGAAAATAAGTACATTGTCTTAGAGATGTCTATTTACACTAAGCACAAATAGTGACGGTGAAAATAGCAGTTACAGTATCAGGGCTCCAAATTTACTTTTTTACTTGGTAGCACCAGTGCTCCTAACTTCAGATATTAAGGAGCACCAGAAAAAAATTAGGAGCACCCACCAACAATAAATGAGCACCACTGCAAATTGTGCATTAAGGGATTTATTGTATTTGAAAGCAACATCAATTAAAGCTGCAAGCAGCCATGAAAGGGACCTTTCATCGCTGCTACCTTTCATTGTGGCGAATCGTCAAAGTTTGAGAGGCCGCCACGGATACGCTCTTCGGCGAAAACTCTAGATCTTCGCAATTTAACAAAACCAAAGCTTTTAGATGACAAAACCCAATTTTGGTGATGATCAGATAAAATCCCTAGGAGGAGTTCATTAAAATACAACGCCTGGAAAAGGCAAAAATATCTGACTTCCTGTTGGGTTTGAGATCTTGCTCCAAGAGACCTTTTTGTAGGTATTGGCATTTTTGACGTGTGTGCCAATTTTCGTATTTGTAAGTAAAATGTAGCTCAGGGGCCAGTCCGTCAAATGTGCATTGGTGGCGCTGTAGAGTCAGTTTTTGAGACTTACTTTACTCTTAACAAGTTGTTTATATTAATATAGGCTAGCAGACATATCTAATTAAACAACTATATTACTTTCCAGAATAGTTTATTCTGATTATTTAAAAAATATAAAATAAAAATAAAATTGATTTGATATAAATGCAAAACAGCAGCCATTCATCTAAAGAAACATCTTCAAGAAATGGGTAATATGCTTATTTTGTGCTCTGGAAAATTATGATTATTATAAGTTTATTATTATTATAGAATTAATAGTAGTAGTAGTAGATGTGTTAGTAGTAGTAGTATTAATTTATTTTAATGCAGCAACTAAACCAGTCATATACTGTATATATTTCCAAATTATTTGAAAAGTAAAAAAAAAAAAAAAAAATTTGATTGGAATTACAAATACCTCTTGAAAATGTAAGATGGCAGTTGAGAGGTATTAAAACAATTTAGTGATTTTAAAATGTATTGTGAAAAACAGTATTTTCATTTAAAATTCTGAGCTCAGACAAGTGTGTTCATGTCTGAGTCTATGTTAAATAAAGTGGCTCATCTCAACACTGTTCACTGCCTCCATTAGCCCTCAAGACGCTGTGCTGTATTGTGCACAAGTGCTGAAGATGTTCCTGTCCCCTGAGACCCACACACGCACACACCAACCCCTGCTGTAGAATCCTGGCTTTTGCAAAGTTTCACATCAAACTCACACTTGCTCTATTGGAGTAAGAGTGGATGGACAGCCTACAGACACATCTGTGTTACACTGGACCGTGTTGAGTTAGGAGACACTGGCCTGAGGGTTTCTATATTCTATCTGAGACATGCTTAACGCTGAACACAGTTCTGCTCATGGTGATATGATTGGATTACAATATGCAGGCCAGATTTAGCATGTCCAAAACATGCTTCCAAATGCATCTCTTCGATATATTTTTTTAAAATATAGTTTTTATTTTTTTTATATATATTTTTTTTCTTAACTTTTATGTCATCATGTTCTACATGAATTTTGTGTACAAGGTAAACAAACGAAAGGCATGTGAATAGCAACTACAACTTTATCAATCGTAATCTATAATATATAAAACAGAGAGAACACGTCAATACAATTTTGGAAATTCTACATTGGCTCCCTGTTAGATTCCATGTTGATAAGGTCTTGCATGATTTGTAAGCTCAATATTAGGGCTGGATAATACTGGAAAACAAATATGTGATATTGTTATTCTATTGTGCAATATTTTTGTTGAGTATTGCTATAACAGCATGTCACACATAATAACACTTCCCTAGAAAAATTTTAGTTTAGTAATAATCATACCAAAATAAACAGTTAAAAGCTATTATTCAGATCTAATTAATTGTAATTCAGACCAAAAAATAAAAAATAAAAATTAAATACTGTGTCAAAGAGCAAACATTTAGGGTTCTATTTTAATGATCTAGGCACAAAGTCTAAAGCCCAGGGCGCAAAAGCACTAAGGGCGTGTCTGAATGGTCTAACAGCCATTACCCGTGGTGCAAAGTCTAACAGGGTTGAGCTTATTCTCTTAGTGAGTTATGGGTGTGTTTTGAGAATTAACCAATCAGAGTCTCATCTTCCTTTCCCTTTAAGAGTCAGTTGCATCGCGTCATGACATATTTCCTATTTACATGGCGGACTTTGTAAGTGGAAAAACTGAATGCTTCAATAGTGAGAAAACAGTTAAACAGACTATCTGCAGCGCGAGGATAAAGAATGAGCCTCTTCCATTCGGAAATTACTTTCACAGACATCCATTAGCTTACAAAATTAATTTTGTTTATTAAGCGCAAAGATTTGTTTCAAAACTATTTCTAAATTCCGTTCTAATTTCCAGAAAACTAATAAATGAACAATAACAACAAAGTGTGGTCATAAAACCGAGTTATTTCCAGACGTCCTATGCTCCATATGGTTCAAATCCTAACAGGTGGACAAATCTAAGCTTGTTTTTGATTAAACAAATACAAATATGCATATATTAAATAATATTATAAATAATACTGCTATTACTAATGACATTATACAAAAGCAAATTGTCATGAATAAACAAAAAAATTATATATTTTGGAATTTTGTTTTTTACTTTTTCTATTTTAACTTTTTCAATTTACTTTTTCTATTATTTAAAATAATTTATTATTTTATGCAACAGCCTTGCATTTAAAAGGGAAACATAAGGGCAATCATAAGCAAAAAGACCCCTAGCTTATAAGGTGTTTTATGGAATAGTCCATCCTAAACTGACAAGCTATGTGTTTTTCTTTCCCTTATTTATTTATTTATTTGTTTGTTTGGCGCATGCACTCGTGTGCGATCGGAAAACTAGTGTAATGGCAGCACGCCATCTTTCTCAAACTTGGGCAAACTCTGTCTCTCTGTCCACTTTGCCCTGAAGCCCCAGCTAACCCTCCTTGTCGTAAGGTATTTGGCGGGCTGAAAAAGGGCGGCCGCTGGCCCCGAGGAAGCCCCGCTTTAGCTCGATCTGGTCCCGGAAGTGACAGCGGCCCTGGCACACTCGATTTAGGCTCAATAGTGGGGAACGCGGCTAATGTAAACCCAGCCTTTGACTAACTCTGGAAGTGGCCAAATTGGACAAGCTCACTTTGTTTAAAGTGGACAAGAGTAGCCTGACAAACATCCATCCTAACCCTCATGTTGACTGGCCAAAAATGACCCATGCACCATTCAAAAAAGCAGAAAAAAAGCTAATTTAAACAATGCATCTTTTTTTATCTTGAAATTTAGTGACTTTTTCCTAAAACTACCCTTATTTTAGAAAAAAAAATATCATTTTCTATTTTCATGAAGGTTACACGCATATACGCTATAAAACTTTTCTTACACCACAATAACTACTGACTTTAGCTTAAAAACTTTTACATTTAATATGCACTATTCATGTACATTTAGCATTAGAAAATACACTCTTCGGTCAAATATGTTGCCCAATGATTAAACCCTGATGAATTACTCCACACTGATGAGAGAAAACGGAGACATTCACAGAGTTTGTGATGAAGATGAGGTTTTTTCTCCATGAGAAAAAAAGATTTTAGGATTAAAATTATGTTCAGTTGGTTTACTGAAGGCGACTATTTTTTGATCCCATGGGCGAATAGTGTACAAGAAAACAAAATTCTAAGACAAGAAGGATGTTAAACCAGATGATAACAAGGTCTGTGGGTGAAAACGTTACCCTTTGAAGCGCTCTGTTAGTTGATTTTACTCTAACGCCCTATTCACACGGGGCGTCAGCGTCAACGCTTCCCATTCACTTTGAATGGGTGACGTCAGGCGTTGCCGAACTGCATTGTGGATCCGTCGGCGCCGCTTCAGAAGCGTTCCTCGCTGCAGAAGTTGGGACCAGCTCAACTTTTCAAGCGCCGACGGAAGCGTCAGCCAATCAGATCGCTGTATGCAAATACACCAGCTCAGACAGTGGCCTATTGCTGACTGAATTTCATTGGCTGACGCTTCTATGACGATCGTTTCAGCTCCAACTTCAGACACGCCCTCTGTCAAGCGTTGACGCTAAAGCCCCGTGTGAATAGGGCGTTATTGTCTTTACATTCACCTTTCCAGCATGAGCTTCATCCTGATCATTGTAAACTCTTTGCTGAGTCTTATTGTTACTCTGGTGTCTATTGCTGTAGGACTCTTGTTTCTCCTCCTTTAAATGTTGTGATCCTGCCTAACAGAGTGCTGTGAGTTGGTCAGACAGTGACGTGCCGAGGGCGTTACATCAGCCCTTCATTACAGTTTAAACTGCCACTATTAACCAGCGATCAGCAGCGCTCTGCTCCAGACCCGTGCTCGGACAGCCTTTCGCCACACACTGACAGCTTCTGCCGTGAGGCGTCCATCCCGCTGAGCGCCCGTGTTAACGAGACTGCCTCTCACTGTTCACAGACAGAAGCTTTATACCTTTAATCCCTTCTGAACTGATCGCAGTACAGCGTGTGACCCCTGCTACCCTTTGCATGTCAATTAAAGACCATCTGACAGGTTGCATTGTGGATGATTCCAAATCGAAGCTCCACAGCTTGTACAGAGAAATCATTGTGACTGCATTGTTGTTGAGTTTGGAGTGGTGTTCACTTTAAACGCACAATGATAGATTGTCGAATCAACGTTTTGAATATGTTGTAGATGCGGGTTTGCATGGGTGAAATAAAGATTAAATAGAAAAACGTTCAGGATTCTGGACACTGATAAGAATCAATAAAGCTAAAAATTATTATAATAAAAGGGTCACATGCCACTTGTTAGATTACTTAATGCTACCGTCATGGTTTTGTTGTAGCTTAGTAATTATCTAATATGTCACTATTGGTGTCAATAGGAATTTAAGGCTATGTTAAATTAAATTATAGCATTGTGACTGGTAAGGAAGGCTTGCACACTTGGGGCCCCTGCGAGGGGGGAAAAATGCCGATTTTGGAGTGTCTATTTAGGCTAAGTGCAAATAGTGCACCTCATTGGAACAAGTTAGTTAAGCGATTCACGCCCATCACCGTTTGATTGACAGAGACAACATAACTAAAGAGCGCAATAGACAGAAACGCGAGTGGCGTAGCTTGTAAAGTGCATAGCAACATGTTTGGAAGCGATCGATCATGAACCCAGTTCGTATCCAGCATCATTTTTTCCCCCCACTACATATCAGACTTTGCCTACTCTTCACCACGTGGAAGACAATCAGGAATCATTAATAAGTGAGTGCATTATGGATGTACTCACACTAGGTGCACTCACACAATCCTATCCAAACTGTGATTTTGTTCACTTTGATTTGTTGGATGGAAATGGTTCTTTCTTCGCACATCTTTTATCTGATATTCAAGTTTTGCGCATAAAGTTAATTAGCATTTTTGGATGAAAAATAATACTTACATTTCAATCACATAAAGAACAAAGTTACGAGATTGGCTTGTCCTTTTTTAATAATAATTAGCTTAAATTCACTGACCTTCGACAGGGACATGTACTGTAACTAGATTAATGAGGTTATTATTCTTTCTAAAAACTATTTTTTAATACTGCTTACATTCTAAACGTCATATCAACCTCCACCACTTAGGTAGACACACAAGTGCACTTTTAAATCTATTAAAAACTCATTTTTGGATTTTTTATCTTCAACTGCTTAACGCGTGTAAAAGTGGCAACCTTAAATTAAACATTTCCACTGAACATTAAAGGGTCACGAAACACCAAAACACATTTTTTGAGCTGTTGACAGTCGTACACACTGCTAAAAACACTATTAGGACACCTATATTTCACTAAAAAGTGTAAATTGGTTGTTTTTGCGTTATTACAAGCAAATTCGTACTTCCGGTTTTTTAACGAATTTTTGAAGCTGCGTCACGGTCATGACATAATAGCGTGTATTCCAGCGTGCAGACTGGACGTCTGTGCCAGAGTGTGTCTTATTACGTCTTACAGTGTGATGCATTAATGCATGAGTAAAGCTTGGTTCAAACCAATCAGTGCGCTCTATTGTGCAACTTCATTAATATTCATTAGTGTCACAGTGTTTTCACGACAGAGATGCCACGTTGTGTTGGCAAAACAAGCGTGAAGTGTTGCTTTTATAGTTTGCTGCCGTTAAGTTTTGTTTTCATTTTCTCTCTGTGAGAGCTCATCTGGAGTCACGTGTGGATTAACAGTGTACGTGACGCTCGACAACAATAACTTACGTGTCTAAGGAGGATTATTGTTTACCTGAGAGCTGTTCTCATCTGCAAACGCTGAGATCCGGATTCGCTTGTATTCTTCTCTTAATAAAGACGCGGCTCTAGTTGCTGGTGATTGTCCTGTCTCTACAGATTTGGTAAGTGAGCGACCAGTCCTCTTTGTTTATTCAGTTTGTTCGTATCAAACTAAGTTAACTATAGCACCGAGTGTAAACATGTTAGCACCACAACCAAACTTTAACCTCGTGTAGGGTTTTTACCGCATTTTGTGACCGGAATAAAACGCGGCTTTCTGACACTACCTGCCGTGTGCATCTAAGTTTCCGGGAAATGCGAAGGTTTTTTTTCTCTCATTCGCCGTGCGGTATCAAACATTGCATGAAAAATACACGCTAAGAGCAGTTCCTCCAATCAAATATCTCGTTTGTCGCGAGGGGCATGAATGAATTCCCTAAATGAAAGAGCCAAACTGCAGTTAAAGTCCAACATTTAATAATTATTCGACTACAGATGTCCATGTAGGTTAAACACCATCACTTTCTCCTGTGTGTGTATTTTGACTCTGAAACTCGCGCGTGCCCAAATAGACACTCCCACACCATCCCACTTTAGTTCCTCCGACACTCCCCCCTAAACAGAAGTGGATACGCCCACTTTTCTGACTTTTTCCAAAGTAGAGGTGTGAAAACACCCTGCTGAAACGAGGGGGTTTCATGGCCCTTTAAGGTTATATGCATTCTTGTTTTGTCAAATTTGTTGTAGAAACTATGCAGTAGCCTATTTTTTAATTGCTATGACATCTGAAATAACTTTAAAAATAAGGTCAACTCCCTACTTTTTTTTTAATTGAAAGTCAATAAAACGTCACACTTAAAAAAAAATTATTATACTTAAATATTTAAATATTTTAAATATTTAAAATGCAAACTTACGGATTAACTTGAGCAGCTATGTTTTCCCACGCTACCTGTCTCTGTTTCACTGATGCAGTGTTGTTTTTTAAAATAGATGGTCACACTTGCTAACTTTGCATGAGCAGATCAAGTTCATCTGGAGAAAAAAATGCTTATCTCTTTTTTTTTTTTTTCAGATGTTGCCATGCTGACTTGTAATATCTCAGCTCCATAATGCCTTTTTATAGTCACGGTGTGGTCACTCAACTCTGAATAAAGCTGCAGTCACACTGGACTTTTCTCTCCATAGACTTCCATTCATACGCACGTGAACGTGTCAGACCAGAAACGCAAGCTCATGCGTCAAGTTTCACAGATCGCTGCCTTGAAAAGCTCAAGCTTGGTGAACTCTGACCTGCGAAATCGCATCACTTGACTGCATGAGACCAATCGAGGATCAAAACATGACCTCTCTGTATAGAAATTTAAAATACGGAGCAATCTCTCGCTTTTTTAACGTCTAATCATCTTGTTTAATCCCGCCCCCTTTCAAAGCAACGTGTGACAGAATTTTGCATGCACAAACTCTAGTTTGACCACAACTTTAGTCTACTCAGACTTGATTGACCGTACTCAGATCAGCAGTTCTGAAACCTAAAACTCTGAGTTTTAAATCTCTCTGCAAGTCAACTCAAAGTTCAAGTTTAAACCAAGCAAGTTTGGTTGAACCTTCTTACTGAAACAGGCCTCTTATGTCTTATAAAGTGACATTTACAATAAGTCGTATCAAGCTATCCTGTATTTGAAACAGGTGCCTGATATTTAGAAACAAAGTTGTGCAAGACATTTGGAGGCAACTTTACAAAGTCATTTCAAAGATGGGACTTATTCCTTAAGTAAGTCAATGTTATATTTTTGTTATTATATTAAACTATATCATTATATTAGAACAATAAATTATTAAAACAACATATGAGATTATGTTAACGATATATGTATATAGTAAATGTATTTCCACTTTAGATAATGTGCAATTCATCTAGTTGCATTTCATCTAATCTGACTGAATTTAAGTTTTAGGTAACGCTTTACACTAAAATTGTATTAGTTAATGTATTTATAAACATGAATTAACTATGCATAACACAGTTATTACAGTATTTCATCTTTGTAAAGGCTAATGAAAATACAATCAGTTATTATAGTTAGTTAACTCAAGTTAAAAGTGTTAATAACTCACGTTGTAAGTTAGTAAACTCAAAGTGCATTAATGAAATGTTATTAACACATTTAAAAGTTAATAATGCATTATGCATGTTGCACTATGATTAATAAATGCTGTACAAGTATTTTTCTTTCTTAGTTCACATTAGTAAATACATGAACTATTAAAACCTTGAAGATTGTTTTCATGACGTCATCAGTTGAGTAAGTTGGAGAGCAGACTGTAAACAACATAACTGAACCAAACAGGACTTTCAAATTTTGCTGGCTTACTAAATACATAAATAATACATTTTAGCATTGAAAACTGACAAAAGTGTTAACAAATCTGTTAAGATATTACACCATTATTACACCATTTCCTGTTTACTAAGTCCTTCTTCCTATAAAATTTATGAAATTATGTTTTTCTGTGGTTTGGACAGCATAAAAAGACACATTTAAAAGTTAAGGCACCTCAGTGTTTTCCTTTTTGCAATATTCTAAAAAGTGGATAATGCGAAGCTACAGTGAAATTTTGCAAATCTGACCATACCTTTACTCAGCATCACTTTACCTTCAATATAACTTTGACCTCTTCTTTAGAACAGTTGTCTAGTTTTGTTATTCGATGTTCAAGCCATTGCTGGACCACAGCTCTCTGTTCAGCATCGTCTCCTAGCAGCTCTGGCCTCTTGGCTTCTTTAACCAGATGACACGCTATAGTAACCAGACCAGTCAATGCTGGCCCATTGTTGTTTTGGAGAACAGGGACCTACAAATAAATAAATTAAAACATGTTACTAATCTATTGAATGAAGCAATTAAAAGGAATAGATCCATTCATTAAATTAATGCTGTTAGCCACAGATTAGACAGGTTTTAACACATCATAATTTTTTTTTGTAACTTAAGTTGTCAATAAATTAACAAAATCAGGGATTTTTGCTTCATGTTTCACAAGTGCATGTTATTTAGGAACTTCTTGTTGCAATAAATTGCTCAAGCTTTCATCATGGTATTCACTATAATGCTGCAAAAAGTTACTTTAACAGGCATAATAACAAAATTACTTAGTGCAGGGGTGTTCAAACTCGGTCCTGGAGGGCGGGTTACCTGCCTATTTTAGTTCCAACCCCAATTAAACACACCTGAACCAGCCTATCAAGCCTTTCTAAGTGTACTAGAAACTTCCAGGCAGGTGTGTAAAAGGAAGTTGGAGATAAACTATGCAGGACACCGGCCCTCAAGGACTGAGCTTGGACACCCCTGACTTGGTGCATTGCTATATTGTATACACATGTTCAGAGTAAACAAATATTTCAATCAAATCAAGTTGCAAAAAAAGTACAAGAGCTAACACTACATGTAATCTCATTTGTAAACAATAGTTAATGCATAAAAATTAGTTCAATTATTAGTGGCATATTAATATTAGTTACAACTGCATTTTATTAGTTATTTACTAGGCTTAATAAAATGACTCTAACACATTACTATTTCATAAATAAGAAAATAAACATCACCTAACATTAATAAAAGCTTTTGTAGTTTTGATCAAGAGATTGGTTCAATTAACTCATGTTAACTTTTGGAGCCTTACTGTAAAGTGTATTGTACAATAGCCCTATAGATATTCACAAAATTTTCAGTCAATATTTGGGCAATTAGTAGGCCAGATTAACATGCTAAATCATTTATCTTTGTACTATTAAGCTAATCAATTAAGTCTCCAAGCATTTGGCACTGTTTCGAACACTACAACAGTGTGAATATTTTTAAAAAAAGCACTCTAAAATGTAAATAAGTAATTATTAACTATAAAATTGAAGCGCCCACAATATCATTAGTGTGCATGTTTATCATCACTATATGTTGAATTATTGAATATCACCATATGTATAAGGTTACTGAATACTCATGTTTGAGCATAGTTGAATAAACTTTTCATCCTGAGACCCCCAAAATAACAATTCAAGTGACTCGCGACCCCCACATTCCTCGGAGGTGGTTATAAATATACAAATGTTGCACACATAACTATTCGCCTTATTCTCAGCTGTCGAGCGGGCGCTGCGATTTGAATCTTTTTGTCTCGCGACTTCCGGTCACATTCACTTCCATTCATTTTTTGACGTTAACAACTGCTCGTTACGCTGCTTGATGTTGCAATTTAATATTTTCTTATTATATTATGCTACTTGGTCTGTGTAGTCATGCAAACATTTGTTTGTTGAGCAAGTAGTTAGGCCATTTTCTGCCGTTTATTATTCCTAGTCATTTCTCCCATAGGCGACTGAATCGGAAGTTCTAAGACAATCGCAAAAACAGGCGCACTTCCGCATTTTAGAATAAGGTCAATAGGCCAACATTAAACACAAGCATATTGACAACGCAAAAAAGTGCAACAGTCTAACAACCATAGGCTCATTCTTGAATTTGTTTAATTTAATATTAACCTCACATAATGAGAGCGGTGGGCACAATGTTTTCAGCACAAGTCTATTCTTGGTTTAATTTTGGAGACCGCCACTTAGAAATCATCCTCAATGTTCAGTTGTGGTCTGTATTCATTTTTAATGTATTTGATTGCAATGAAGCTGTCAGAAAATTGAACCTGGTGCTATAAAATCAATCTGCTACAGCTGACGCTATTGCTATGTTGTTAATCTAACGTAAAAACGGAATCTATGGAAAAAAAAATTAAAGGCTGATGGCTTATTATTTGTATGATGTTCCTTTTTTATGTAATTATTAACTACTATTATTTATCTCCTGTGGTTTATGGATAAAATATGGTAATTCTAGCAGTTTAATAGAATTTATTTGACTTTTGGAAATCACCGTCTTATGAACAACACTTTGGGAACAACTGGAAAAAACTATAAATAAAGTAGTTAGTACATGAATAAATGAATGAAGCTAGTGTACAGTATGAATTTTGAACAATAAGATTTGAATTGTTAAATGATACATTAATATTACATGGTATATTACATCAATCACATTTACTGTATGTGTTATTTGGTTGGTTACATAATAGTAAATAATAATAATGTAGCTTCAATAAGAAATAATTATAGAAAAGTATTGTATTAGGGAACTGTACTTATTTAATTACAATACATCACCGATGTTAATATTAACAAAACTAACATTTGGAAAAAAAAGTATTAATAGATTTTTTTAACTTATTATAAGGCGACTAAAAAAAGAAGAACAGATTATCATCATTTTATTTTATTTTTTATTTTTCAAAGATACAGTTTTTTTGCAGTTAAACTCTAAAATATTACAAATTGTTATCTGTTTTTTTTTTCAAATAAACTCTTAATACAAAGGACTGTAATTTGCTTAAACTTTGTAATTAATAATGGTAAGATGTAAAGTCAGTCACTGCAAATACTGCTCTTTATTTTTGTAGTAACATGTAATTTATCTCTTTAAAACTGTTTCTAAGTATTTTACAGTGTTCTAAAAATACTCAAAAATGTTTCTGATAATGTTTTCAAACTATTATATTTTACTTACCAAAATTACACAAGTGCCAATTTCCCATCTGTCATACCCACAATGGAGCTTTTTCCTCATTAATGCAAAAAATAAAAAATAAAAATAAATATTAATAATAATAATAATAAAATAAATAGTTTTAGTTCTTTAGAGAGAACTCTTATCCTTTTGATTAGCATTGTTTTTGGGGGGGTTGTGCAGTTTAATTCAGACTTTCTACAAAGTATGTTGCATACTTTTTTCATCACATCCATAACGTATGTTTAAATCCCTTATTTAAAATATAAAATAGGTTTACAGATTGATATTTTTCTGCTCAAATAACTCTGTGGTTAGTTGTTTTGGAATATATAAACAGATGCTTCAATATAATGTTAACATATACTATCACGGTGAATTTATGTTTTGAAATTGTAGATGTCACATCCATATTGCTGGAAACACTCATCCATCCATCCATCCATCCATCCATCTATCTATCTATCTATAGGTAGTTTCAATGCACATGGTGGGTATAAAGCTGCTCTAAATGTTGCTTAGCATAAGGGCCATGATGTCTTTTTGCAGGCAAGTGTTTTTATGTAAACTTGAAAATTATCCAAGATGTTTTACCTTGTAAATGCACTATAATAGGCTGTCTTAAACCGTTTAAATGTTATTTTTACAGTAAATGTGTTTCTTTGATGATCCAGATGTCAAAGTGAACAAAGATCTTTCAGTGGGTTTGCTACTACACATGTGAATACTTATTAAATACTTGGATACTTATCATTCTAACACGGTTAAAAATAATAGATGAAATGCTGATGAATGTATGTAAATAATACATATTAAATACATAATAAAGAAGATCTGAAATCTTCCCAGTGAAATAAAATTTCAGGTTTCCACCACCAGCCATTCATTCATACAATGACTAACATATGACACTTTACAACCCTAACGCATCTTTTTAAAAATACTATCAGCTCAAAACCCCAACTATATCTCTTTCAGCGTTCGATTCACCTTTTTCCCTCCTTGCGTGCTGTATTTATTTGCCTTTTTTAATCCTAGAAATCTCTCAAGCGAGTTCAGCTCCCGCAGCGCCATCTTGATCACACCGGAAACCAACGGACTACATTAAGCGGGCGCTGATTGGTGGAGATTCTCTAGTCCCGCCTCTGTCGCGTCATGTTGGACAGATTCAGCCTGTTTTCATATGGTAATGTAGTTTTTCTCTCTTTCTTTGGAACATTTGTTAGATCAGAATTCAAATTTGCAAAACAGTAAGTGCATCTCTGAAAATAACGGGTACAAATAGCAAAACACAATGGACTGCCCGCAAAAGCTCTTGTCTCTTGCTCAAAATCCTTAGTTAATCTCTCAGAATTTAATTTCCGTGTCAATGAACGTGTCAGTAGATTAGGCCTACAAAATGTCATGTACTTAGTCATGTTGTCAATAACTGTACTTCGAAGGGGTGTTCTGGCGTGAACTATGGCAATTTATAGTATATAGTTGACATGATCTGTCAACAAATTAAAGTCCAAACTGCAAGATATTTATATAAACGTAACAGTTTTAAGTACTCATTTCTAATAAGGATTTATTTTATCTTTGACATAATGACAGTGAACAACATTTCATACACACACACACACACACACACACACACACACACACTTGAAGTTAGATTTATTAGCCCCCCCTAAATTATTAGCCCCCTCGTTTATTTTTCCCCCAATTTCTGTTTAACGGGGAGAAGATTTTTTTTCTACACATTTCTAAACATTACAGTTTTAATAACTGTTCTCTAATAACTGATTTATTGTATCTTTGTCGTGATGAAAGTAAATGATATTTTACTAGATATTTACAAGACACTTCTATACAGCTTAAAGTGATATTTAAAGGCTTAACTAGGTTAATTAGGTTAACTAGGCAGGTTAGGGTAATTAGGCAAGTTATTGTATAACGATGATTTGATCAGTAGACTATCAATATATATATATATATATATATATATATATATATATATATATATATATATATATATATATATATATATATATATATAGCTTAAAGGGCCTAATAATTTTGACCTTACAATGCTTTTTAACAAAATGTAAAACTGCTTTTACTCCAGCCGAAAAAAAAAAAATAAGACTATCTCCAGAAGAAAAAATATCATTTGTGAAACATTTAAAAAAGAGAAAAAAAAAAATCAAAAGAGGGCTAATAACCCTGATCTCAACTGTATATATATATATATATATATATATATATATATATATATATATATATATATATATATACAGGGTTCAACGCTAAGGATTTTTTCTACTGGCCCAATCGGACCAATGGTTCAGGTTTTTACTTGCCCTGCCAATATTTTCACTGGCCCCACCAAAAAAAAGTTTATAGCTATTTCTTAGCCACAAATAAATAAAAAGTGTCAAAATGTTTGTAAACATAGAATTTAAATATTTAAAATATATATATAAATGTGTAATGAGCAAAACTCAAAGTGTTTTGAAACAAAAGATGGCTAAAGACCAGCCAAACTGACAGCAAACTGTACAAAAGATCACTTAATTTTTTTTTTTTTTTGTCGTGGTGTACCCTGGTTTATGTCTGCTTCCAAGACGTTACAAACAAATGTTTTCCTTTAGCATCATCATTTGATGTTACCGCCATGTTGCTGTCTCTTCCCTGTACTAATAATGTGCTCACAACATCCAATAAGATAAGAAGAACCGAGAAGGTAGCGTTTGAAGGCTTGAAAATACGAACTGTTTCTCAATTCTAAAACTGTATTCGCACGCAATTGACAAATGTGACAAATAGTCACAGGCAAATTAAACTTTAGTAACAAGGCAGCAGTGGCCCGATCGGGCCAGTAACGATCCTGTATACTGTCCTGAGCATCTCATATGTTGACCCCGGGCCATCGGGCAGTCCTTATTGTTGAAACCCTGATAAATATACAGTATATTGCTGTTCATACTGTAATTTGTTGACAGATCATGTCATTGTGATACAAAAAGGAAAAGACAGTAAATATACTCAAAATTATTTGCCTTCTCCATTGATCCGTATTTTAACCTCAGCACTTAACAGTATTATTTAGGTTTTTATTTATTTATTTATTTATTTATTTTTACAAATATATATGTTCATACATCCAGATAACACAACGTCTTGTTCCATATTTCTTTCTCTGACTGTTCACACTTTTTTTCTGAATCATGATAAAAACACATCTAAAAATACTTTCTGTAAAAACTTAGACAGACTGACAGACAGAAATATTAGAATTCCAAGCACTAGACTAAGGGGTAATAAATGTTCATCCCTCTTAATTCGTGGGCAACCAACAGAAATTACACTCAAATTAATTATGTAAAAAAACTTTTTCTGTTTTTAGATATGTTTTTATTAAATGCTCTGAATTAGCTTCTAACCATAAATAGGTCTATTTGTCAAAAATAAATTATGTGTTTTTTAACAAATTACTTCAATTATTAAAATTATTACACTCTTTAAAAAAAAAAAAAACGTAGTCCATTATTCCAATTTATTGATTTTTTATTGAAGAGTTCAGACACAAAAACCTCTAAGTGCCATCTGCAATTTTCTTCCAATATTATAATTTATAATATTATAATTTTCTCAGGCTCCTGTCTTAATTCTGTCATTTTACTTTTATGGCAAACAATAGGTTATTTTTTTAGCGATTTAAACATTAAATAGCTGAACAAAAACATGAGGCACAGAAAAAATGCTGATTGTAAACGAAAATTCCAGATGGCACTTAGAGGTTTTTGCATGTGAACTTTTAAATTATTCTTAATTGATTTTTTAATAATTTAATTAAAATAAAACAATTAAGCAAATAAATAAACATCTAAATATTTAAACAAATAAATAATGTATTAAATTTAAAAGAAATGTTATCAGTAGTTTAAAAACATAATTAAATATATACATAAATAAATACATTTTTTCCCAAACAAATGATTTGCAAATGGAGTGAAATCCAGTATTTTCTAAATCCAGCTCTCAAACCACAGTGAGGATTTATAACCTGTTTAAGAGTGTTCAATGAAACAAGACCCATCATACAGATCAAAGAGACGCTAAATTTCACAGGAATAGCCCACCGACACAGGACCCACGCTGATTTTTAGATCCTGCATTGACGTACTGTATAAACAATTTTCTGATGTTTGTTTTCACGCAACCATACTGTAAGTATCTTCTTGATGAAGAATCGAGAGAAGAAGAAAAAAAGCCTGTGATCTTGCCATCGGTCAACTAAGAGACAACTGTACAGCAGATGAAAGGGTTGCAGCGCAGTTTATAGTAGCATATATGTATTTACTCATTGTTTTTCATCTAAGTCCTGAAAATTTAAATCAAAATGACAGCAAGGGTTTAGAGTTTCCTGAGTCCTGCAGCAAGTTTTCCTCTGCTTCACTTGGCTGTCTGTTTCCCAGCATCCCCGTGCTCGTCCTCAGTGCGGCGTGTCTGTTTGGATTTACACAATCACTGTATGACTCCTCCATAATGAAATGTCAGCTATCAATCAAACTGGCCTTATTAACTCCATAAGGGCCAGGTGTGGGTGACATCATGGAAAGCGACTGTGGCCTTGGAAGTGTTGCGTGCTTCTCATGCACCCATACGTCAAAACGTTGCCTGAAACTCTTTTATTTTATTTTTTATTTTGAGAAGGACTGACTGTGTGAATGCTGAAAATGCTTCTAAAGGGGCTTGTGCTGCAACCTTTTATACAGGGGGTTTGAAATATTTATATGTAATCTAAATAGTATAATGCTTACATACAAGGCATTGATATTTACAGTATAAAAATCCAAATTATACATGAAAAAAAAATTGAAACAAGTTTTTTTTCTACTCACTACTTCATTTATTTGTATGAATAATAAATATTAAGATACAATCTTAATAATCATGCTTGAGGAAGGCATTTATATTTACAGAAAATTCCAATTATACAGTGAACAAACTATAGTTTGAAAAACATTTAATATATTATAGGCAATATTTTATTTTACATTATATTTTTCTACTTATTTTAGAAAACTGCATTTATTTGTTTAATCAATTGCTATTTTTAATCTTGTTTGTATTTATTTGTTTGTTACTTATTGAATGGTTTTATAGTATAGTCTATTTTATGATCATAACAGCTGTTACAGGTCTGTAGCCTGTGAAAGGGGTGTTTTTTTTTTCTCAAAACATGGACCTTTTTGCAGTTATACACCTCATTTTCTATTTAGTTATGAGATTTAATTACATTTTAAGCTCTATTTAAGCTGGATTGGCTTGTCGGATGGTCATCATAACCACACTTTTTGATGCAACAAAGCAATTTCCTAAATTTAGAATAAAGAAATATGAAAAATTATTTGGGAATTTATTACATCATATATATCATCAAAAAAAAAAAAAAAAAAAAGGGAAATGCTTTAAATGAAAAACAAGCCTATTGTCATTTATTAGGCAAATTATAAATGATAAAATGGCCAGCACATTCAACTTTTGGATTTTGGCTATTTGAATAATAATAATAATAATAATAATAATAATAATGTAGAGCTTCACTGTTCTTATGTGATCTTTTGTAAAAAAATAAATTATATATATATATATATATATATATATATATATATATATATATATATATATATATATATATATATATATATATAGTACATTTGAAAATTCATGGATAACAACAAATGTTAAATTAGTTTTAATTAGATTTTCAATGGACTATTTTTTACTATTTATGATGGCATATTTCGCACAAAATAGGACAGATGAGCTCAGATATGGTACAAATTCCAGACCTTTGTCCAACGCCCCCTTTTCTTTTTTATTTTCATACAGTTGAAGTCAGAATTATTAAACCCCCAGAATCATTAGCCTTTATTTAAACCTTAACTAGGTTAATTAGGTTAACTAGGCAGGTTAGAGTAATTAGGCAAGTTACTGTATAATGATGGTTTGGTCTGTAGACAGTCAAAAATATAGGGGCTAATAATTTTGACCTTAAAATGTTTTAAATTGAAAACCGTTTTTTATAGCTAAAATAAAACAAAAAATACTTTCTTCAGAGCAAAAAAAAAAAAAAAAAAAAAAATTCAGAC